GGTGTCATCGCCGGCACTTGGTTGGCCCCAGCGGGGTGACTTGGCTCCTGGGTCGGCAGGGCTGGCGCCTGGCCACCAAGTCGCCCTGAGCTGGAGGGGGCCGTGGGGGGTCGGGGCTGGGCTTCAGAATCTGGGGAACACCTGCTACGTGAATGCAGTGCTGCACTGTCTGAGCCACACGCCACCCCTGGCCCGCTGGAATGTGTCCCAGCAGCACGCCACCCTCTATCCGGCCCGAACCTCCTGCACGCTCTGTGCTGGGCGAGCTCACGTGACCCGAACCCTCCTTCACCCGGGAGAGGTGATCCGGCCCCGCAAGGACCTGCCGGCGGGCTTCCACAGACACTAGCAGGAAGATGCCCACGAGTTTCTGATGTTCACTCTGAATCCCATGCAGCGAGGGTGCTTGAGTGCATCCCAGCCGTCGGGCCATCCCTCCGAGGACACCACCCTCATCCGTCAGATCTTCGGCGGGACTTGCAGCTCTCAGATCCAGTGTGTCCACTGCCTCGGTGTCTCAGACACGTTCGACCCTTATCTGGACATCAGCCTGGATACCACCGCGGCTCAGAGTGTGGAGCAAGCTCTGAGAGAGCTGGTGAAGCCCGAGAAGCTGCACGTTGAAAATGCCTATGACTGTGGCGTTTGTCTCCGGAAAGTGCCTGCCACCAAGAGGTTGACTTTGCACAGGACGTCCCAGGTCCTGGTGCTGGTGCTGAAGCGGTTCACACAGGTGAGCGGGGCCAAAAGGGCTCAGGCAGTGCGCTATCCCCAGTGCCTCGACCTGCAGCCCTTCACGTCTGAGCGGAAAGCAGGGCCACTGGGCTACGTGCTCTAGGCCGTGCTGGTGCACTCTGGGTGGAGTGGTGAGCGAGGACATTACTTTTCTTTCGTGCGAGCGGGCAACGGCCAGTGTTATAAGATGGGCGATGCCAAGGTGACGGCCTGTGATGAGAGTGCTGCCCTGAGCCAGGGCGCCTACATCCTCTTCTAGTCCCGGGAGGGTGCGTGGCAAGGGGGTGCTGGGGGAGGGTCTGCGGCCCCCCTCACGCCTGACCCCACACACCCCGGGGAACCTGACCCTGCCGGCCCCGGGGAGCCTGTGGGCGAAGCCAGCGGCAGAGCTCCTGGGACACAGGTGTCCCCGGGGGCCACAGAGGTCGAAGGAATCAGCTTAGAGCAGTGGAGACGCCTAAAAGAGCACAACCGGCCGAAGACGGCCTCCGACCTCTGCAAGATCCAGTCGGCCCTGCCTGCCGGCCCAGTCGTGATTCACCAGTCCAAACACGGAGCAGGGAGAAACGGCAAGCTGCCCGAAGAGGAGCACGACCGGCTCGACCGTTCCAGCATGCACAGCCCGCCTCCGGGCCCAATGAGCGTTGGCAACGGCCCTTGTGCCAGCGGGAGGGCCCGAGCGACCAAGAGGAAAAACAAGAAGCCGCGGCCATCTCTGGGGCTGTGGCGGTAGGTAGGCTCTGAGGCACATGCCTGCAGAAGCCCAGGCACACTCTGCGTGCGGCACGGCCTGTGTGACCCACCAAGAGTTCCTGCGAGGAGCGAGTTCCTCTCGGCGGTGTGGCTGGTGCAGCCTCCTGGAAAAAGGCGGGGCCTGCAGTGTGCCCGGGGCCACGCTGTTCACCTGGACGGTGCTGAGGGGCCAAGCTCTCGACGTCTGGCTCTGATGGCAAGTGACTGGAGAGGATGGGGTGCGTGACCGGGTCTGAGCACAGTCTGAGTGCCTCGCCCTTCTCCGGGGCTGGGAGAGTCCTCTCTGGATGGGACTTTGGGTGTGGCTTTGCCTTTCTTTCCCCGTCTGCCTTCTCTGGCCACACCGCTGGCCTCTGGCCTCTGGCGAGTGAGGAGGCAGGGAGACCCCTCCCAGCACGCCCACAGCCAGCCGAGCAAGGAGGCGATCTCCTGAGCCCTGTGGGGGGCAGGGAGGAGCGGGTGCAGGTCTGTGAATCGTCTCCTTCTGGCCTGCCAGGCTCTCGAAAATGCCCCAAGCATTGAGCAGGGTCCGCGCAGAAGATGGGCGACCAGGCTCTACGGGTGGAATGTCCTTGGGAGCCATTGGGAAAGTGCTACTTGGGAAAGGGACCTCCGGAAGGAATGACGCGGGGGATCTGTTCGTCACCGGCGGGACACGCGTGCGCAGAGTTGCCTGGGGCTCCTTTTCTGGTGCAAGGAGTATGCTGAAGAACCTCCAAGTGCCCAACGGGAGAAGCGATTCACGGTGCCATGAGTACCACCACCAGGTCCACCGCCTCCACCACGAAGGCCAAGGGGAGAAAGGCAACCCAGCGAGTCCCAAAGAAACTTCTCCACCATCATGGCACAGGTGCCTACGTGGAGATGGGTCATGTAACGGTTCCTTTCTGAAAGCAAAGGTCCTCCGTGCACTGAGGAAAGACCCAAGCCTGCCCTAGATTGTGAGAGCAAGACAACTGGACATCCGAATCTGCCCATCCTATCTGTCAGTCAGTTGTCTCGTTCAGCTTGGCCCCGGACAAACGCCGCTGGACGGGATGAGTCACAGCCGGCCTCTGAAGTGTCTGGGATGGTGGGGAAACTGTCCTCTCCTAGCTGCTTTCCCGCCTGCCTCGTGGTCCCGCGACCTGGTGGAGGGGCGCCCGAGGACCCTTATCGATCCCCTCTTGCGGTTTCTTTCTTTCTCTTCGTTGCCGGCTTCAAACCCAAAACCCTCCATCAAACGGTGGACCTGGAATTTGCGATTTAGCATCTCAGACCTAGAGGGACAGCTGAGGCTCCTGAATGTGCTAGTCGGCTTGGCATGGAACAGAGAACTTTCCGCTGGCTTCTTCCCCCCGCACGGTTACCTGTAACGCACCGTGGCCTCCACATGCAGAGAGGAAAAAAAATGATGAGCGGTATCTTCCCCCAAGAACTCGAAAAAGTGTGCCCTGGATGAGGAAGTCGAGCCACCCACAGGCCACCCTCATTATCACCACCAATCTTCCTCTGCCCCATCGCCTCAAACGGACTTACTGCTTGCCCCATCCACACGCTCTGAAGAAGAAGAAGGAGAAGGAGGTGAAGATGGTGAAGAAAGAGAAGAAGGAGAAGAACGGTGATTGGAATGGCGTGGCAGAGGGAATGGAAATGTCGCCTGATGCTGGGGGAAAGGCATGCAAAAGAGAGACAAAAACGGGCTGATCTGGTTTCTCTGTGCCATGGGAAGGAGGCAAAAAGACAGCAAGGTTGTGAGCACATGCATCATAAAGCACAAAGCAGTAGGGTCCTGGGATGGGATGGGGCAGCGGGAGGTGGGAGCGGTGCAACAGGCTAAGGGAAAAGCAGGGTCAGGGCCATCTTTTCCTAGTAAGGATCAACGGAATCAACACGTCAGCTATGGGTAACCCATGGCCTGTTGAACGGCCTTTCTGGAAGGCAAGCATAATGTCCAGGTCGGGACAGCAAACAAACATACATGTCACACACCAAGAAGGAAACCAACAGTCATCCTCCTCCAGGAGGAAATCTGTTTATACCTTAAGGTATAGTGCATTTTGAGCCCTTCAATTGGAAAGATGACTCTAGAAATCAACTACTGTAACTAATGTAGAAAAAGAGAATGAAAACCTGCAAAAAAAATAAATAATAATAATAATGAAATGAATGAAAAATACAAAAAAAAAAAAAAAGAAATTGAAAAATGAACGAAAACAGACACACACAGAAAAGAAGTAGAAAGAAATAACGCAAAAGACCATTAAGATTGAAAAGGAGTTGAAGAAGTGAATCGAAAGCTGCAGCGAGCCTATGGCTTTCTGAAGGAGCTCCCTGTGGACCATGACCAACAACCCTGAAGGGAGAAAAGCATATGTGCTACACTCGCGGCATCTTTTGGTGCTAGGACCCTGAACGCTAGAAGAGTGGCTAGTGAGAAGGCATAGAAATGGCAGTGGACCTCAGTCGAGGGCAAAGTTGAGGCAAGGGTTTCTTGTTGTCCGGGGAGGGGTTGTCCTCAGGCAGGGGTCTGGGGTGGGGAGACCCCTCGAGGGGAGAGGGTAGGTGGGCAGACATATGTTTCCACAAGTGTGGTAGGATCTGAAGGGTGAGCCCACGGAATTCCTCCCCAGCCCGCATGTGTGTGCTGAACTTGGAAGCCCTGCAGTGACGCTCTAGCAGGCAAGTCTGGAAAGCCCAAGGCCCCCCAAATCATTTGCATCCTGAGCCCTTGGGTCCAGGGCCAGATCGGAAGTGCGTGCGGGGCTTCGTCATGGGGAATTCCCCGAGAAAAGTGTCGGTGGTGGGATGTCGGGAGTGGGAGTGAGCACGCCCTCGGACGCCTCAGCCAATGAGGAGCTTGCGCGTGCGGGGGTGGGGCTGTGGGAGGCCATCAAAGGACCGAGGAGGCGGGGCCCAGGCCCCTTCTAAAAGAAGCACCATCTGAGGGAATGAGGCATCGTCGTGCAGCTGCAGGTAGGAGATGGAAAACACTCGTGGGCCTTGTTTGCATAGACCCGGGGGCTACTTCTGCGCACGGGGGTGGTGCGTGTCCGTCTCCCTTCCACGTCCTCCCCAGAGGGCAAGGTAGTCGGCCCAGCGCCGCTGGTGCGGATGCCCTTCGGGGACCCTCTGTCCCTGAGGTGTCATCGCCGGCACTTGGTTGGCCCCAGCGGGGTGACTTGGCTCCTGGGTCGGCAGGGCTGGCGCCTGGCCACCAAGTCGCCCTGAGCTGGAGGGGGCCGTGGGGGGTCGGGGCTGGGCTTCAGAATCTGGGGAACACCTGCTACGTGAATGCAGTGCTGCACTGTCTGAGCCACACGCCACCCCTGGCCCGCTGGAATGTGTCCCAGCAGCACGCCACCCTCTATCCGGCCCGAACCTCCTGCACGCTCTGTGCTGGGCGAGCTCACGTGACCCGAACCCTCCTTCACCCGGGAGAGGTGATCCGGCCCCGCAAGGACCTGCCGGCGGGCTTCCACAGACACTAGCAGGAAGATGCCCACGAGTTTCTGATGTTCACTCTGAATCCCATGCAGCGAGGGTGCTTGAGTGCATCCCAGCCGTCGGGCCATCCCTCCGAGGACACCACCCTCATCCGTCAGATCTTCGGCGGGACTTGCAGCTCTCAGATCCAGTGTGTCCACTGCCTCGGTGTCTCAGACACGTTCGACCCTTATCTGGACATCAGCCTGGATACCACCGCGGCTCAGAGTGTGGAGCAAGCTCTGAGAGAGCTGGTGAAGCCCGAGAAGCTGCACGTTGAAAATGCCTATGACTGTGGCGTTTGTCTCCGGAAAGTGCCTGCCACCAAGAGGTTGACTTTGCACAGGACGTCCCAGGTCCTGGTGCTGGTGCTGAAGCGGTTCACACAGGTGAGCGGGGCCAAAAGGGCTCAGGCAGTGCGCTATCCCCAGTGCCTCGACCTGCAGCCCTTCACGTCTGAGCGGAAAGCAGGGCCACTGGGCTACGTGCTCTAGGCCGTGCTGGTGCACTCTGGGTGGAGTGGTGAGCGAGGACATTACTTTTCTTTCGTGCGAGCGGGCAACGGCCAGTGTTATAAGATGGGCGATGCCAAGGTGACGGCCTGTGATGAGAGTGCTGCCCTGAGCCAGGGCGCCTACATCCTCTTCTAGTCCCGGGAGGGTGCGTGGCAAGGGGGTGCTGGGGGAGGGTCTGCGGCCCCCCTCACGCCTGACCCCACACACCCCGGGGAACCTGACCCTGCCGGCCCCGGGGAGCCTGTGGGCGAAGCCAGCGGCAGAGCTCCTGGGACACAGGTGTCCCCGGGGGCCACAGAGGTCGAAGGAATCAGCTTAGAGCAGTGGAGACGCCTAAAAGAGCACAACCGGCCGAAGACGGCCTCCGACCTCTGCAAGATCCAGTCGGCCCTGCCTGCCGGCCCAGTCGTGATTCACCAGTCCAAACACGGAGCAGGGAGAAACGGCAAGCTGCCCGAAGAGGAGCACGACCGGCTCGACCGTTCCAGCATGCACAGCCCGCCTCCGGGCCCAATGAGCGTTGGCAACGGCCCTTGTGCCAGCGGGAGGGCCCGAGCGACCAAGAGGAAAAACAAGAAGCCGCGGCCATCTCTGGGGCTGTGGCGGTAGGTAGGCTCTGAGGCACATGCCTGCAGAAGCCCAGGCACACTCTGCGTGCGGCACGGCCTGTGTGACCCACCAAGAGTTCCTGCGAGGAGCGAGTTCCTCTCGGCGGTGTGGCTGGTGCAGCCTCCTGGAAAAAGGCGGGGCCTGCAGTGTGCCCGGGGCCACGCTGTTCACCTGGACGGTGCTGAGGGGCCAAGCTCTCGACGTCTGGCTCTGATGGCAAGTGACTGGAGAGGATGGGGTGCGTGACCGGGTCTGAGCACAGTCTGAGTGCCTCGCCCTTCTCCGGGGCTGGGAGAGTCCTCTCTGGATGGGACTTTGGGTGTGGCTTTGCCTTTCTTTCCCCGTCTGCCTTCTCTGGCCACACCGCTGGCCTCTGGCCTCTGGCGAGTGAGGAGGCAGGGAGACCCCTCCCAGCACGCCCACAGCCAGCCGAGCAAGGAGGCGATCTCCTGAGCCCTGTGGGGGGCAGGGAGGAGCGGGTGCAGGTCTGTGAATCGTCTCCTTCTGGCCTGCCAGGCTCTCGAAAATGCCCCAAGCATTGAGCAGGGTCCGCGCAGAAGATGGGCGACCAGGCTCTACGGGTGGAATGTCCTTGGGAGCCATTGGGAAAGTGCTACTTGGGAAAGGGACCTCCGGAAGGAATGACGCGGGGGATCTGTTCGTCACCGGCGGGACACGCGTGCGCAGAGTTGCCTGGGGCTCCTTTTCTGGTGCAAGGAGTATGCTGAAGAACCTCCAAGTGCCCAACGGGAGAAGCGATTCACGGTGCCATGAGTACCACCACCAGGTCCACCGCCTCCACCACGAAGGCCAAGGGGAGAAAGGCAACCCAGCGAGTCCCAAAGAAACTTCTCCACCATCATGGCACAGGTGCCTACGTGGAGATGGGTCATGTAACGGTTCCTTTCTGAAAGCAAAGGTCCTCCGTGCACTGAGGAAAGACCCAAGCCTGCCCTAGATTGTGAGAGCAAGACAACTGGACATCCGAATCTGCCCATCCTATCTGTCAGTCAGTTGTCTCGTTCAGCTTGGCCCCGGACAAACGCCGCTGGACGGGATGAGTCACAGCCGGCCTCTGAAGTGTCTGGGATGGTGGGGAAACTGTCCTCTCCTAGCTGCTTTCCCGCCTGCCTCGTGGTCCCGCGACCTGGTGGAGGGGCGCCCGAGGACCCTTATCGATCCCCTCTTGCGGTTTCTTTCTTTCTCTTCGTTGCCGGCTTCAAACCCAAAACCCTCCATCAAACGGTGGACCTGGAATTTGCGATTTAGCATCTCAGACCTAGAGGGACAGCTGAGGCTCCTGAATGTGCTAGTCGGCTTGGCATGGAACAGAGAACTTTCCGCTGGCTTCTTCCCCCCGCACGGTTACCTGTAACGCACCGTGGCCTCCACATGCAGAGAGGAAAAAAAATGATGAGCGGTATCTTCCCCCAAGAACTCGAAAAAGTGTGCCCTGGATGAGGAAGTCGAGCCACCCACAGGCCACCCTCATTATCACCACCAATCTTCCTCTGCCCCATCGCCTCAAACGGACTTACTGCTTGCCCCATCCACACGCTCTGAAGAAGAAGAAGGAGAAGGAGGTGAAGATGGTGAAGAAAGAGAAGAAGGAGAAGAACGGTGATTGGAATGGCGTGGCAGAGGGAATGGAAATGTCGCCTGATGCTGGGGGAAAGGCATGCAAAAGAGAGACAAAAACGGGCTGATCTGGTTTCTCTGTGCCATGGGAAGGAGGCAAAAAGACAGCAAGGTTGTGAGCACATGCATCATAAAGCACAAAGCAGTAGGGTCCTGGGATGGGATGGGGCAGCGGGAGGTGGGAGCGGTGCAACAGGCTAAGGGAAAAGCAGGGTCAGGGCCATCTTTTCCTAGTAAGGATCAACGGAATCAACACGTCAGCTATGGGTAACCCATGGCCTGTTGAACGGCCTTTCTGGAAGGCAAGCATAATGTCCAGGTCGGGACAGCAAACAAACATACATGTCACACACCAAGAAGGAAACCAACAGTCATCCTCCTCCAGGAGGAAATCTGTTTATACCTTAAGGTATAGTGCATTTTGAGCCCTTCAATTGGAAAGATGACTCTAGAAATCAACTACTGTAACTAATGTAGAAAAAGAGAATGAAAACCTGCAAAAAAAATAAATAATAATAATAATGAAATGAATGAAAAATACAAAAAAAAAAAAAAGAAATTGAAAAATGAACGAAAACAGACACACACAGAAAAGAAGTAGAAAGAAATAACGCAAAAGACCATTAAGATTGAAAAGGAGTTGAAGAAGTGAATCGAAAGCTGCAGCGAGCCTATGGCTTTCTGAAGGAGCTCCCTGTGGACCATGACCAACAACCCTGAAGGGAGAAAAGCATATGTGCTACACTCGCGGCATCTTTTGGTGCTAGGACCCTGAACGCTAGAAGAGTGGCTAGTGAGAAGGCATAGAAATGGCAGTGGACCTCAGTCGAGGGCAAAGTTGAGGCAAGGGTTTCTTGTTGTCCGGGGAGGGGTTGTCCTCAGGCAGGGGTCTGGGGTGGGGAGACCCCTCGAGGGGAGAGGGTAGGTGGGCAGACATATGTTTCCACAAGTGTGGTAGGATCTGAAGGGTGAGCCCACGGAATTCCTCCCCAGCCCGCATGTGTGTGCTGAACTTGGAAGCCCTGCAGTGACGCTCTAGCAGGCAAGTCTGGAAAGCCCAAGGCCCCCCAAATCATTTGCATCCTGAGCCCTTGGGTCCAGGGCCAGATCGGAAGTGCGTGCGGGGCTTCGTCATGGGGAATTCCCCGAGAAAAGTGTCGGTGGTGGGATGTCGGGAGTGGGAGTGAGCACGCCCTCGGACGCCTCAGCCAATGAGGAGCTTGCGCGTGCGGGGGTGGGGCTGTGGGAGGCCATCAAAGGACCGAGGAGGCGGGGCCCAGGCCCCTTCTAAAAGAAGCACCATCTGAGGGAATGAGGCATCGTCGTGCAGCTGCAGGTAGGAGATGGAAAACACTCGTGGGCCTTGTTGGCATAGACCCGGGGGCTACTTCTGCACACGGGGGAGGTGCGTGTCCGTCTCCCTTCCACGTCCTCCCCAGAGGGCAAGGTAGTCGTCCCAGCGCCGCTGGTGCGGATGCCCTTCGGGGACCCTCTGTCCCTGAGGTGTCATCGCCGGCACTTGGTTGGCCCCAGCGGGGTGACTTGGCTCCTGGGTCGGCAGGGCTGGCGCCTGGCCACCAAGTCGCCCTGAGCTGGAGGGGGCCGTGGGGGGTCGGGGCTGGGCTTCAGAATCTGGGGAACACCTGCTACGTGAATGCAGTGCTGCACTGTCTGAGCCACACGCCACCCCTGGCCCGCTGGAATGTGTCCCAGCAGCACGCCACCCTCTATCCGGCCCGAACCTCCTGCACGCTCTGTGCTGGGCGAGCTCACGAGACCCGAACCCTCCTTCACCCGGGAGAGGTGATCCGGCCCCGCAAGGACCTGCCGGCGGGCTTCCACAGACACTAGCAGGAAGATGCCCACGAGTTTCTGATGTTCACTCTGAATCCCATGCAGCGAGGGTGCTTGAGTGCATCCCAGCCGTCGGGCCATCCCTCCGAGGACACCACCCTCATCCGTCAGATCTTCGGCGGGACTTGCAGCTCTCAGATCCAGTGTGTCCACTGCCTCGGTGTCTCAGACACGTTCGACCCTTATCTGGACATCAGCCTGGATACCACCGCGGCTCAGAGTGTGGAGCAAGCTCTGAGAGAGCTGGTGAAGCCCGAGAAGCTGGACGTTGAAAATGCCTATGACTGTGGCGTTTGTCTCCGGAAAGTGCCTGCCACCAAGAGGTTGACTTTGCACAGGACGTCCCAGGTCCTGGTGCTGGTGCTGAAGCGGTTCACACAGGTGAGCGGGGCCAAAAGGGCTCAGGCAGTGCGCTATCCCCAGTGCCTCGACCTGCAGCCCTTCACGTCTGAGCGGAAAGCAGGGCCACTGGGCTACGTGCTCTATGCCGTGCTGGTGCACTCTGGGTGGAGTGGTGAGCGAGGACATTACTTTTCTTTCGTGCGAGCGGGCAACGGCCAGTGTTATAAGATGGGCGATGCCAAGGTGACGGCCTGTGATGAGAGTGCTGCCCTGAGCCAGGGCGCCTACATCCTCTTCTACTCCCGGGAGGGTGCGTGGCAAGGGGGTGCTGGGGGAGGGTCTGCGGCCCCCCTCACGCCTGACCCCACACACCCCGGGGAACGTGACCTTGCCGGCCCCGGGGAGCCTGTGGGAGAAGCCAGCGGCAGAGCTCCTGGGACACAGGTGTCCCCGGGGGCCACAGAGGTCGAAGGAATCAGCTTAGAGCAGTGGAGACGCCTAAAAGAGCACAACCGGCCAAAGACGGCCTCCGACCTCTGCAAGATCCAGTCGGCCCTGCCTGCCGGCCCAGTCGTGATTCACCAGTCCAAACACGGAGCAGGGAGAAACGGCAAGCTGCCCGAAGAGGAGCACGACCGGCTCGACCGTTCCAGCATGCACAGCCCGCCTCCGGGCCCAATGAGCGTTGGCAACGGCCCTTGTGCCAGCGGGAGGGCCCGAGCGACCAAGAGGAAAAACAAGAAGCCGCGGCCATCTCTGGGGCTGTGGCGGTAGGTAGGCTCTGAGGCACATGCCTGCAGAAGCCCAGGCACACTCTGCGTGCGGCACGGCCTGTGTGACCCACCAAGAGTTCCTGCGAGGAGCGAGTTCCTCTCGGCGGTGTGGCTGGTGCAGCCTCCTGGAAAAAGGCGGGGCCTGCAGTGTGCCCGGGGCCACGCTGTTCACCTGGACGGTGCTGAGGGGCCAAGCTCTCGACGTCTGGCTCTGATGGCAAGTGACTGGAGAGGATGGGGTGCGTGACCGGGTCTGAGCACAGTCTGAGTGCCTCGCCCTTCTCCGGGGCTGGGAGAGTCCTCTCTGGATGGGACTTTGGGTGTGGCTTTGCCTTTCTTTCCCCGTCTGCCTTCTCTGGCCACACCGCTGGCCTCTGGCCTCTGGCGAGTGAGGAGGCAGGGAGACCCCTCCCAGCACGCCCACAGCCAGCCGAGCAAGGAGGCGATCTCCTGAGCCCTGTGGGGGGCAGGGAGGAGCGGGTGCAGGTCTGTGAATCGTCTCCTTCTGGCCTGCCAGGCTCTCGAAAATGCCCCAAGCATTGAGCAGGGTCCGCGCAGAAGATGGGCGACCAGGCTCTACGGGTGGAATGTCCTTGGGAGCCATTGGGAAAGTGCTACTTGGGAAAGGGACCTCCGGAAGGAATGACGCGGGGGATCTGTTCGTCACCGGCGGGACACGCGTGCGCAGAGTTGCCTGGGGCTCCTTTTCTGGTGCAAGGAGTATGCTGAAGAACCTCCAAGTGCCCAACGGGAGAAGCGATTCACGGTGCCATGAGTACCACCACCAGGTCCACCGCCTCCACCACGAAGGCCAAGGGGAGAAAGGCAACCCAGCGAGTCCCAAAGAAACTTCTCCACCATCATGGCACAGGTGCCTACGTGGAGATGGGTCATGTAACGGTTCCTTTCTGAAAGCAAAGGTCCTCCGTGCACTGAGGAAAGACCCAAGCCTGCCCTAGATTGTGAGAGCAAGACAACTGGACATCCGAATCTGCCCATCCTATCTGTCAGTCAGTTGTCTCGTTCAGCTTGGCCCCGGACAAACGCCGCTGGACGGGATGAGTCACAGCCGGCCTCTGAAGTGTCTGGGATGGTGGGGAAACTGTCCTCTCCTAGCTGCTTTCCCGCCTGCCTCGTGGTCCCGCGACCTGGTGGAGGGGCGCCCGAGGACCCTTATCGATCCCCTCTTGCGGTTTCTTTCTTTCTCTTCGTTGCCGGCTTCAAACCCAAAACCCTCCATCAAACGGTGGACCTGGAATTTGCGATTTAGCATCTCAGACCTAGAGGGACAGCTGAGGCTCCTGAATGTGCTAGTCGGCTTGGCATGGAACAGAGAACTTTCCGCTGGCTTCTTCCCCCCGCACGGTTACCTGTAACGCACCGTGGCCTCCACATGCAGAGAGGAAAAAAAATGATGAGCGGTATCTTCCCCCAAGAACTCGAAAAAGTGTGCCCTGGATGAGGAAGTCGAGCCACCCACAGGCCACCCTCATTATCACCACCAATCTTCCTCTGCCCCATCGCCTCAAACGGACTTACTGCTTGCCCCATCCACACGCTCTGAAGAAGAAGAAGGAGAAGGAGGTGAAGATGGTGAAGAAAGAGAAGAAGGAGAAGAACGGTGATTGGAATGGCGTGGCAGAGGGAATGGAAATGTCGCCTGATGCTGGGGGAAAGGCATGCAAAAGAGAGACAAAAACGGGCTGATCTGGTTTCTCTGTGCCATGGGAAGGAGGCAAAAAGACAGCAAGGTTGTGAGCACATGCATCATAAAGCACAAAGCAGTAGGGTCCTGGGATGGGATGGGGCAGCGGGAGGTGGGAGCGGTGCAACAGGCTAAGGGAAAAGCAGGGTCAGGGCCATCTTTTCCTAGTAAGGATCAACGGAATCAACACGTCAGCTATGGGTAACCCATGGCCTGTTGAACGGCCTTTCTGGAAGGCAAGCATAATGTCCAGGTCGGGACAGCAAACAAACATACATGTCACACACCAAGAAGGAAACCAACAGTCATCCTCCTCCAGGAGGAAATCTGTTTATACCTTAAGGTATAGTGCATTTTGAGCCCTTCAATTGGAAAGATGACTCTAGAAATCAACTACTGTAACTAATGTAGAAAAAGAGAATGAAAACCTGCAAAAAAAATAAATAATAATAATAATGAAATGAATGAAAAATACAAAAAAAAAAAAAAAAAGAAATTGAAAAATGAACGAAAACAGACACACACAGAAAAGAAGTAGAAAGAAATAACGCAAAAGACCATTAAGATTGAAAAGGAGTTGAAGAAGTGAATCGAAAGCTGCAGCGAGCCTATGGCTTTCTGAAGGAGCTCCCTGTGGACCATGACCAACAACCCTGAAGGGAGAAAAGCATATGTGCTACACTCGCGGCATCTTTTGGTGCTAGGACCCTGAACGCTAGAAGAGTGGCTAGTGAGAAGGCATAGAAATGGCAGTGGACCTCAGTCGAGGGCAAAGTTGAGGCAAGGGTTTCTTGTTGTCCGGGGAGGGGTTGTCCTCAGGCAGGGGTCTGGGGTGGGGAGACCCCTCGAGGGGAGAGGGTAGGTGGGCAGACATATGTTTCCACAAGTGTGGTAGGATCTGAAGGGTGAGCCCACGGAATTCCTCCCCAGCCCGCATGTGTGTGCTGAACTTGGAAGCCCTGCAGTGACGCTCTAGCAGGCAAGTCTGGAAAGCCCAAGGCCCCCCAAATCATTTGCATCCTGAGCCCTTGGGTCCAGGGCCAGATCGGAAGTGCGTGCGGGGCTTCGTCATGGGGAATTCCCCGAGAAAAGTGTCGGTGGTGGGATGTCGGGAGTGGGAGTGAGCACGCCCTCGGACGCCTCAGCCAATGAGGAGCTTGCGCGTGCGGGGGTGGGGCTGTGGGAGGCCATCAAAGGACCGAGGAGGCGGGGCCCAGGCCCCTTCTAAAAGAAGCACCATCTGAGGGAATGAGGCATCGTCGTGCAGCTGCAGGTAGGAGATGGAAAACACTCGTGGGCCTTGTTTGCATAGACCCGGGGGCTACTTCTGCGCACGGGGGTGGTGCGTGTCCGTCTCCCTTCCACGTCCTCCCCAGAGGGCAAGGTAGTCGGCCCAGCGCCGCTGGTGCGGATGCCCTTCGGGGACCCTCTGTCCCTGAGGTGTCATCGCCGGCACTTGGTTGGCCCCAGCGGGGTGACTTGGCTCCTGGGTCGGCAGGGCTGGCGCCTGGCCACCAAGTCGCCCTGAGCTGGAGGGGGCCGTGGGGGGTCGGGGCTGGGCTTCAGAATCTGGGGAACACCTGCTACGTGAATGCAGTGCTGCACTGTCTGAGCCACACGCCACCCCTGGCCCGCTGGAATGTGTCCCAGCAGCACGCCACCCTCTATCCGGCCCGAACCTCCTGCACGCTCTGTGCTGGGCGAGCTCACGTGACCCGAACCCTCCTTCACCCGGGAGAGGTGATCCGGCCCCGCAAGGACCTGCCGGCGGGCTTCCACAGACACTAGCAGGAAGATGCCCACGAGTTTCTGATGTTCACTCTGAATCCCATGCAGCGAGGGTGCTTGAGTGCATCCCAGCCGTCGGGCCATCCCTCCGAGGACACCACCCTCATCCGTCAGATCTTCGGCGGGACTTGCAGCTCTCAGATCCAGTGTGTCCACTGCCTCGGTGTCTCAGACACGTTCGACCCTTATCTGGACATCAGCCTGGATACCACCGCGGCTCAGAGTGTGGAGCAAGCTCTGAGAGAGCTGGTGAAGCCCGAGAAGCTGCACGTTGAAAATGCCTATGACTGTGGCGTTTGTCTCCGGAAAGTGCCTGCCACCAAGAGGTTGACTTTGCACAGGACGTCCCAGGTCCTGGTGCTGGTGCTGAAGCGGTTCACACAGGTGAG